TTCTCTATTGAAAATATTTGGGTTTTTTTCAATTAGCAAATGCTTTATACATTATGTACAGTAACTAACTAGTCATCTTGATTCATTTTTAAACAATTCTGCAAAACCACTGTTTTTCTGCAATAGAAAAGAATGTTTCAACTGTGGTTTAATTTTCTCTTCTTTTTTTTTTTTTTAAGGCGTGGATTCACAGTGGGGGGAATAAACAAAGCATGTTCAGGACACATTCTGACCTTGGGTGTAAGAAAAACAAACAACTAAAAAAAAAAAACAACTGCAAGAGTGCATGGCCAGGAATATTATTCAATGCCTTCCACGAAATCAAGGAACTGCATCTGAAATGTTGGTAAAGGGGAAAAGGCACTGGGAACACAGGAAATACAGAATCAAATCCAAATACCCTCAGCAGATTACACAACACTGGCATGTTGGCCCAAATGATTGCCATCCTAATTAGCTAACAAGCAATTCTCCAGGTGTAAAGAATGATTTCATACCCTTCTGCAGAAAGCTAATGTTCTAGAGAATCCTCACAAGGAATTATAGGAAATCAGGAAGCAGACTTTAATTTTCAAAGCTTTCAACATAAACAGCTAGAACACTTCAGATTTGCTAACATCAACTTGAAGCCAGAATCATCACTAATTTATGAAAGTTGTAGGCTACTGAAATACAAGGGAATTTTAAAGACAGAAACCCAGTGCATTTGAAAAGCTAAAAGTCGATGTGGTAGAACCACTCTAGGCACTGAAAAATAGAGTAATTAATGTGTTTACACCACTGCTTGAAGAGCTCGTGAAAAGATGTATCCTACACTATCCTGTGATAGATGCTGAACAGATTCTTTTAAGTGATATCCAAAGCATATTCGGTTCTGTGCCATGACAAAATACAATGCACAAAAGAGGCACAGCAGATTAAGCAAGATGTAGACAACATCAGATGCTGGACAGAAGTGGACACATACTTTGGTGAGATGCAGGACTTGCAGTTTTCAAGGTACTGCAGATTAGGGGAGGCTGGAGAAGGCTCTTTGTAAATCTTTGAGGAAAGAAGCAAAGCTAATCTCAACCAGTATCAACACATTTCCAGCCAGCCACATGATGTTTGTTGAGAATATTGTGGGCTGCAAAGCTCTGGAGTCTTACTAAGAAAGATGATTAAAATATCCTGAATTTCTTCTGGCCACCAGCTCATCAGGTAGAACAAAGAACTGATTGCTCCAGCTGTCAGTACTGAAGACAACATTCAAATAATGAACACGTAGCACTTCAGGCATCTACTCAGCTCTAAGCTTTGGTCAGAAGCATTTCCCAAAGCAGGGCAGGTTTCAGAAGCTTGTCTGCTCTAACCTGCCCCTTCAGCAAAATCCACTGTAAAGGTGAACCAGGATAATCAGAAAGCTCCAGCAGACAAGTAACGAGGTAGGACAAAACCTGGCATTAGTTGTGACAGAGAAACTCAGATTAAATATTTAGACTTTCTGTAAGGGGTGACAGCCTGCTGTTCGCTGCCTCTAGTCATCAAAGCACAAAAGCAGCAACAACAAAAAGGAACTTACAAGTCAGATTCACTGGGAATGCAAGCACAGTGACATTGCATCCTAATTAAAAAATGCAGTTCAAAGGACATATGCTCATAATGCAAACACCACATATCATGGAAATCCATACCTGTCAAGTGAGCTTCTTGCAAAGCAGTGCAGAGATCAGTCACAATTCAGCCACATAAAGTAGCTTTATAAATTACCATCACTGAAATGTTACCAAACTGACACTGATTAAAGCCCAGCTGAGAGACATCCTTTGCAATACAGTCTCAACATTAACATAGTAGGTCAGGATTGAAGCTTCTCTTAATGAGCAAATAAAAAGGAAAAAAAAAATAGAGTAGTCACGGGAAGCTGATGATATTCCTAACTATAGAACCATAAACAACAGATATCCAGTGACTATCCTGCAAGATTTAACTTTATAATTCTCAAAGGGAACATGATGATAAAACAGCTATTTGACATTGGAAGACTGAAAAGCAAGAGGCAGATGACTCCCAACTCCCCCTCTGTACTAGGATTCACCGTGTGAAATCTGCCAAGGTCTGCCCACAAAAAGCTCAGCGGATTGAGCAACTTCTCCCACCAACTCTCCAAGCAGAATCCTGGCTATCACTGCAGGAAAGAGGAGCAGAACCCAACTCCTTGCCACTACTACTGGCCCCATGGCCTGTGGGCCAGCAATACACAGAGCAGACAGACACAGGGCTTCATCACACTCAGCACCAGGGATGAGATGAAGAGGATCAGAGCATCAAACAGATTTCCTGAAGAAATAAGTGAAGTCTATACCCGTGGCTGCACCCAGCAGTAACAACACACCTCAGTGAGCAAGAAAATTCTCAGTTTTTTACATCTGAAATGAATTATAAATTAGCTGCTGATCTTATACATATAAAGATACATACTTTTATTGATAAGCAAGAGCACCAGGCCAAGATTTGAACAACACTGCTAAAGCAAAGCTGTGCTGAAAGAAATTGGCTCATAATGAGCTTTTGATTTCTGTGTGTGCACACAGGACAAAGGAGCCCCAGCCTCGAGAACACAAGCTATGAAAACACGCAGTTTATAACAAAGTGACAGAAAAACCAACAGGGATGACATCTGTTACTAATTTAACAAGTCATGTCATCCACACATCAGCTGTTCACCATTTGCAAGAGCAATTGTGCCTTAAAGGAAAACTGGGTTTCAAGAAGGAATCTAATGTGTGATATGAGAGCTGCTCCACCTTGTTGTCCTTCTTAACCCCCACCTTCCCTGGCATTAACACACTGGGCAAAAGCACCTGCACAAATGTGCTGGAAACACATCCAAGAGCAGCCTCAGACAGCACCATTGGCACAGACAAGATGTACAATGAGGTTTTGAGGCAGAAATGGCACAAATTAAGAGGGAATATTCAAACGTTGTTGGCAGGAAATCTGTGTGTCTTAAAAAGAAAATCTCTGATACCTTGCAAGAGACCCAGTCAAAGACACACTGACAGACCTGCAGGATGCACACAGCGGAACATCTTCCTTAATTACAGAGCAATGGAGAAAGAAAGGGGAAAAAAAAAAATCAAGCAGTTCCTTTTGACTGTACTCGTGCTCAAGCTACAGGAATTCAAGGCAACCTACACACGATGATGCAGAGGCACGTTTTTTTAGCTCACATAAAAGATAACAGATGTGAACTATCAGCTTGTGGACTGTGAATAGTGTGATAGCTGATGACTAGGATTGTATTTCTGGGACATCTAATTCAATAGGAAACCCAGGAGAGAGAGAGGAAGTGTATTCCAGGGAAAGGATCAACAAAGCTGAAGGAACAGAGGTAAGTACTCTTTAAATGAATCACAGCAGATGATTCACAAGGAATACAGGCAAACAGAAGTGAGGAGAACAGCAAGGACAGTCAAAAAGGCTATTGAGAAAGCAGATTTTAAGCATGTACTCAAATTTGTAAGAGGCAGCCAACAACAAAGAACAAAAAGATACAATGCTCAACCACTACTTCGGACAAAGAAGCCCCACAAGTGACAGGAACAAACCTGAGAGAGGTCTATGATGGAGCTGGATCCCAGTTCTGAAAGAAAAGAGTTCTAAAGTGACACAGTGGATGGGATCAGAGATAAACAGGAAAAAAGATGCAGAAGCAATAGCTAGAAACAAAAGTGAATTTAAAGAAAAAAAAAAGAAACAGGCAACTGCAACACATAATTGTGCTATGACAGATTTATCACACAAGCAATTGGTATTTTCTGCAAATAAAACGTGCTGACGTAGAAAAAAAATATGACAAAGATACCGAACTCATTACGAAATCGTTTGAGTGGGTAAATCACTGCTCATGGATTATGTAAAATAAGTGTGCTCGGGAATTATACGACGGCTGTCAGGCAGTCCTGAGCAACAATACTGTCTCTGCACAGGCCTCGCAGTGAAGGCAGGTCCTACCAGTAAACGACACATGACGAAAAGCATCAATTTAAGCCGCGTCCAGCGCGCTCATTGACCCCTCACGGATCGGAGCGGCCGCGGGGGCTGAGGGGTGGCGGGGGTGGGTAAATCCGTCTGCGGCGCTTCTGGGCTGAGGTGAAAAACCTTCAGCACGCGGTCAGCGAGGCTGCCCGGGGAGGCCGCGGGGTCTCCCCCTCTGGAGACATCCCGGACCCACCTGGACGCGCTCCTGTGCCACCTGCTCCGGCCGGCCCTGCCCGGGCGGGGGGGTCGGGCAGGGGGACTGCCTTCCGACCCTGCGGGTTCTGTGGTTCTGCGGCAGGGGTTCCCCGCGGCGAAGGGTCCCACACGCCCCGGCTGTGCCCCCTCAGCCGCCCCCTCAGCCACCCCCTCCCTCGCTCCCTCGCTCGCTCGCTCGCTCACTCACCGGCCGAGCCGCGTCCGCTCCCGCCGCCCCGCCAGGCCCGGCGCACCCGCCGCCACCTCTCGCGAGAGCCGCCCCCGCTGCCGCGGAGGAGGCGCCGGCGGAGGCGCCCGGATCTCGCGAGAGCCGCGGGACGCCGTTGCCAAGGGAGCGGCGCGCGGCACTCCCTGAGGGGGCGAGCGGGGGGGACAGAAGTGGGAGAATGAACTCCCGCGTGGATAAAAACCGACAGGGAAAAAAAACCCCCAAAAACAAAAACAACCGACACAACAAAACAAACACCGGACGAGTGAAACGTTAACAAAGCACAAATCACCGCAAACAGGAACAGAATAAAATACACTGAAAGAAACGTGATAAATCCTCCCCGCCGAGCGTAGGGGGCGGCCGGTGTGAGGGGCCGGGGCGGTGCTGGAGGGCGAGCGCCGCCCGCCGGCGGTGGAGAACGGCGGGGGTGTGGAGCCGGGGTCTCCTTGTGGAGCCGGGGTCTCCCCTGAGGAGCCTGGAACTCCCCGTAGAGCCGGGATCTCCCTTGTGGAGCCGGGATCTCGTTGTGGAGCCGGGATCTCGTTGTGGAGCCAGGATCTCCCCTAAGGAGCCTGGAACTCCCCGTAGAGCCGGGATCTCCCTTGTGGAGCCGGGATCTCCCCTGAGGAGCCTGGAACTCCCCGTGGAGCCGGGATCTCCCCTGAGGAGCCTGGAATTCCCCTGTAGAGCCGGGATTTCCTTGTGGAGCCAGGATCTCCTCTGAGGAGCCGGACTCTCCTCTGAGGAGCCAGGATCTCCCCCGTGGAACCGGGATCTCCCTGTGGAGCAGCACTGAGGGGATGATAGTGGCGCAGGTATCACATAATAGAGTTTATCTAGGTGAACTGGCATCTGATATCTCAAGCTTCATCCTAAAACCCATTCCTGATTTAAATTACAACTGCGTGTTTGTGCAGCCCTATAAGTTGTATAGATTCTGTGTAATCTGCAGTCTGTTTAGGAATATAATGTAGTGGACGTGGCTCTCGTTCCATAATACCCCAGCAGAACTACCATGTCCCGCATTTTAGGTAACTTCAGAGCACTGAAGTGTCACAGGTGTTGAGAGGACACTGAACCCTTTGCAATCCTCATGGGATGGAGGAGGGAGAATAAACCAACACCGAGCACCAGCTGTATTCAGATAGCTGAAGGATGAGATTCAGATTAAAAAGAACATTTGTCTCTCTTCTAAGATGTCTTCTACTGCATCGTTATTGAGGATCATGTATTAAGCAGGGCTTGACTTCCATATCAGGTGAAAGGATTGTAGAACTCCAGATAATCAGTATATTGAAGCAAATTTGAATTAGTGGGCAGTTTGGGCGGAGAAAGACAAGGAGCAAACTTCTGCTCAACCTTTTGAATGTCAGTCTGTTCTCTGTGCACTGTGGGAAGCCAGACCTGTTGCACAGGGGATATTTTGGGGAAGCCCCACTCTGAAGACCAACCACCATATATGGGGTCTTACCAGAATCTCTTAAACCAGATTTTAAGAGATTTGGACCAGATTTCCCAGAAAAAACGTGTGGGTAAAAGGGAACATGAATCTATATATCCACTTTGAGCAGGGGTTCTGATCTAACTGCTGGTGGAGGAACTTGATTAATTTGTTGTCAGATTCCAGAGCCTGGAACTGTACAGCCAATGCTTTTGGTATATTTTAGATCCTCCTCTTTCAGGGATACCAAGGAGTTTTGATCTCAGGATTCAGTGAGTATACACCTCTGGACTTGCCTGAGGTGTACATTGAGATCTGCATTAGCAGATCTCACTGCTTCAGACAGGGAACATCAGACAGACAAGCTGTATTCCTCATGCTCTTTGGGGAGAGGAGGGGAAGAGGGGGCAAGAGAGCAAGGATTTGTGCCTTTGCTACACCAAAATACCCCACAAAGAACAGAAGCTTTGCTACAATATACAGCAAAACATGGATCTGTTAAATGAATTCTCTTTTTTCCATCCTTTAACAATGGCCACAGAGATAAACCACACAGTTCTAGAAATCCAGCAGCAGAACAATGAGGGCCAAGCAGCTCTCACAAAAGCTGTCAGAATGTGCTAACAAGGCGAGGAGTCAGATGCCACACGTTTAGCAGTGAACTGAGCAACATGAAACAGTAGCATTTACAGCAGCCAAAGTCAGAAGCAGCTTAGAAAGCCAAATCACAGGCAGTTAAATCTCCAGGGGTAGGATCTGACAAATTATCTTGTTTTTATTTGACTTCATGTGATTCTGGCTTTGTCAATTTTTCATTGTTTTTTTTCTTCACTTACTACTGTTTTACTCCCCCTGATGATGGATATTGAAATTAGTGGGTTTTTGTTTCAGTGAGTCACCAGTGAGAGATGTGATTATCTCTCTTTTCAGTGAGAATTTTATAAAAACCAGGTGTGTACAACAGATGTGTGTCTGCATGGGATAGGTCTTTGAGCACATAGGTCTTGGCAAAAAGCCCTTGTCAGATTATAAAGCAAGGTGATCGTCCCTCTCTGCTCGGCCCTAGTGTGGCCACACCTCGAGTGTGGTGTCCAGTTCTGGGCTCCTCAGCACAAGAAAGACAAGGAGCTGCTGGAGAGAGTCCAGTGGAGGCCACAAAGACAAGTAGGGGTCTGGAACATCTCTCCTGTGAGGAGAGACTGTGGGAGCTGGGCCTGTTTAGTCTGGAGAAGACTGAGAAGGGATCTCCTTAATGCATATAAATCTCAAAGGCGGTGCTGAGAGGATGTTGCCAGACTTTTTCCAGTGGTGCCCAATGACTGGATGAGGAGCAATGGCCAAAAACTGAAACACAAGAAGTTTCACCTCAACATGAGAAAGAACTTCTTTCCAATGAGGCTGGCAGAGCACTGGAACAGGCTGCCCAGGGAGATTGTGGAGTCTCCCTCTCTGGACACATTCAGAACCCACCTGGACACGTTCCTGTGTCACCTGCTCTGGGTGACTCTGCCTTGGCAGGAGTTGGACTGGATGAGGTCCCTTCCAACCCTGATGATTCTGTGACTGTGATTCTGTTTCCTCCCTCAAAAGGAAGTATGTGCACAGAAACCACATCCCTCAGGGAGCAAAGAGGCCTTCTAGAGACACCTCATTTTTGGAAGGTTGATCCTGTGGACGTGAAGGGTTGTGGATCCAACACTTTTTTAACTTCATTTCACTCTGAGGGGTGCTCTGAAGTCTCCTCTGAGTCTGTTGTGAAGTGCTGGCTCACTTCGTGATTTACACTGTTTGCATGCAAGTACACAACCTGGCACACACTTAAGGCACATTCCAGCGTGGGAAGAGAACTCAAGCATCTCCAAGAGCAATGCCAATGTCTCCTCCAGTGACATTTCCTGGAGATGAGATTTTGGCTCACAGTGGCTCAAAGCTCCGTATTCAGCCATGGGCAAACTCACTTCTTTGCCTCTTTCCTCGTTCTCTCAGAAAGATGGGTAGGCAGGACCATTTATCTCTCCATACTGTTCACTTGACATACCTTTATGGTGCCTCTTTTGATTCATTTCTTTTCTGACTGACATCATTACCATTTATTATCATATGTAAGTGTTTCAGTGGCCCTGTTATTTCTTACCATCCTCTTTCTAGTCCCCTTAATCTGTGAAAGAGAGATGACCAAAATTGCACGTTTGTCCAGGTGAAGATGAATTTTTTGTTATCAAGGTATTTTTTATAATATCCTCTGCCCCACTCTGAACCTTTTTCTGTTCTAACTGCTGCTACACTGATCAAAGGTTTAAGCTGAAAAGCCGTATCAAATCTGTTGTCTAGATAATTAGTAGGTAATTTCATTCAAATTACATCTTATTTCTGGTGGGCATTACCCAGCACTAATTAATCTGCCACTGTGCTGTCTTTAGTCCTGAAGAGTTATATTGTAAGTGTACAGAAAGTTTAAATATTTGTGTAAGCATCTTTCATCTACTGGATAGCTGAAGATTTGGAAGAATAAGTTATTTAGAAAATAGAGTTCTTTGTTTAGATCAAAATGCGAAAGTTTATGATTTTGCCACTTGAAGGTTACGTAGTTTCTGAACGTGTCATTATTGTAAGGGGACATGAATAGGTTTGTGCTTGGTAAATACCTTTTGTTTAACCACCAAAATGATTTTGTGTGCAGGAAAGATGAAAGCAAAAATAAAAATTGCACTCATCATTATTTTTGTATTTATATTGCTGTAATAAAATAAAATGGCTTAATAGTCCCAAATGCTAAATTATATCAGAATAGTCACAGGTCAGTCAGGTATTATGCTTTAATGTAATGTCCAAGAGCTTTTGGTCCACTTTATTTGGTAATACATAAGTGAGACATAGGTACAAAAATGCAATTTTATTTATTTAAGTTAGCACAGATGTCTGATAAAAGAATAAATAGAAAGTGCACTTTAAGGCCTCGATTCTACAACCAGACAAGTGGCAGGGAGCCCTTGCCCGGACACCCCGTCTGCTCATAGCACCAGGGCCTTTACATTGATAGAGGTACAGCCAAGATGATGAACTACAGCTCACTAGTTACAAGTCTCTAGCCTTCAGCAGATTGAATTTATATGTGTAATGATTGAGGAGGTTTTTACCGGGCTCCCCAAGGCGTGCTAGACATCAAACAAACAAATAAGGATCAACATGGGAACATAAACGCAGCCACTTCGGCTCAGAGCAGCAACTCAACCGGGTTTGAGCTCTGGCAGGTTTGGAGGCACTCACCATTCTTCCTGCTGAGAAAGCTTCCTGATTCTTCAGAACTGACTGAGGATCCTAAACACATCTGTGCATATGCCATGCAGAATAATTTTGTAGTTGCTGCTTTTTATATTACTGTCATAATTGATTTTTTTCCCATCCATTTCCTTCCGAGCCTTGCTTAGGGTTTGAATGTATTAGAGATCATGGTTCCTCTCCCAGCATGATTTCTGCATGTTAATGTTTCTCCTTTTGGAGACTTGGAAACCCAAGATCCTAATTCTACAAAAAAATTGCATGTGGAAATGAGTGATTTTAATTATGAGAGCCACTGGTCTCACAAACAAAAATTACTTACACATGAGGCCTAACACATCACACAGGAATTCAGAGATATATAGTTTATAGAGAAATTGAGGGACAAAAAAATTATATTGCAAGATTTTTGTTTCAGTTGTAATTGTCTGGTATAGAATCATTTCCTGGTTCTATAGTTAGGGCTGTGCTTACATACATGCTACCATCTCTGCTCCCACTGTTTCTGCAGTTAATTATAGGTTGTAATTTTTTGGAGGAGAGGAAGGTAATCAAACCTTCCCTTCGATTCAGTATTTTGCAAAATTAAACCCTCACATCTCATATTTGGTTTTAATTTTGTCCCATTCTACTTTTAAGCTTTGTCTTCCTACTTTATTTTATTTTATATTTGCATTCTTTAATCCTGAGTTATTATCATGCAGCATTTGCTATGTAATTAATGTTCATCTGATTTTAGGCCTCCTTCTGAAAATCAAAGTGGGTTTAAGTTTACATATTTTCATTAGTACAAAGTCAAACAGAATTTAACTCTAGGCAAAAGGGTGCCCCATTCTGCAGACAGACTCCACTGACTTTATTCACTGCTGGTTAACAGCACAAGCAGTCCTAGTGATTACCTACAAGTGCTGCCCATGTAAGAGTTGTACAACAGGTCTTAAATGATTTCTCAACTTTCTTGCTCTTTTGAGCTTCTTTCTGTCTTTTATGCTGGCAATTTATAAGATACATTAGCCAAAAGATACCCAGAAATTAGCAGCAGTGGTCCTGGGTAGACTGTAAACACATTTTATTCTTTGTTTGTGAGATGTCTAA